TCAATTCAATTTTATTTGTATAGCGCCAATTCATAACAGAAGTTATCTCAGGACACTTTTCAAATAGAGCAGGTCTAGACCGAACTCCTTTTAACATTTACAGAGACCCAACAGTACCACCATGAGCAAGCACTTGTACAATGTACTGTGATGTTGTTACCCTTTTATGCTTTGAAGACAAAATAATGGTGAAAGGTTCCGCTTTTTGTTCATGTGAAACATTGTGACATGTTTATTTACTGCACTGTGTGCATGAAAGTAATGTATTTTACAATCCTGCTGACAAACCCCATTTTTACTCAATGTAAATGTAATCTGATTACACCTTTTTGTATGTAACTGTAATGGATTACTCTCCAAGCCTGTTAATGGAACTAGTTTGGGGCTCTGCTTAGCTATGTAGTATATAAGTCATGATGTTCTGTTAATATACAGATCCTTTGGTTCCAACTGCATTTAGTCTTAAGTGCATCTTACTGTAGAAAGTGGTGTTTTATAATTCTCTCTCTGGCTGGCTCCACACTTGGCTCAAAATACTGATGACTTAACAGGACTTATATGAAGTATATTAAACAAGTGTGAGGAGGTGGGAGCTTGCGAGCCACCATAACTCAGGGTGTTTAAGCATCGACTCCTGTTCCTCAGTCTGTCAGAATATACCAGAGAGGAACAACGCTGGCCTTGAAAAGCTCCTGCATCTCATCTGGCCAGACTGCTGTATTAACAAACCTGTGGAGGTTCGAAGAAATCCAAGCACAAAATCTGGAGAAGAGGGAGGACAGAGTGGCCTTTTGTTACTCAATATAATTACAGAGACTGTAGACAGCTTTAGACATCTTGTGTTATAAATTCTCAGAATGGCTCCCTTGAGATTGTCGCCCAAATTCCTGTTATGTTGCATTCAAGTCACAGTGTGTTGATGATCCAGTGCTCACACAGCCTGAAACGGGATCAGGCCATTGTTTATACAAAGGTAATAGAACACAAGGATGAGGTGCTGCAGTACAGCAACAGCAGCAGGTGGTGGTTGCATAGCAGAAGCTCATGTTTCTGTCTGTTTCTGTCTGCTTGACTGGCTGGAAAACACTGGAAGTCTTTAATCTGTAGTTATCTTTCAGAGGAAGACTTCACGGGACAGAATGGAAGAGGTGTCAAGTGGCTTTCTGTCAGCTGACTTTATTATGATGGAAATTTGTGTGCACCTTAAAAAATCTTTGGACCTTGCCATTTAGTTCTTCTTTCTTATCCCCTCCTCTCAAAGTCTTTGGATATCATGACCGACCAGAGCCTGAGCAAGTACATTTCCTATTTAGGAACAAAATATCAGCGGATCTCATAAGAACTCTTTGACTTGAAGACTTTGTGGCAGATTTTGGCGTTATAGTGTTTTAGAAGTGCTACTTCAACACAAGGCAAATGTCTCTTGAACCATTGGTTATAGAATAACAACCTCCCTTTTTCTAAGTGTTTTTCGAGCGTCAATCAATATGGTACAGATAGTTTGATTTTATTTCTTCAGTGCTTCTTAAGCAGCTTGAGAACCAGTATAGAGAGGATCTAAATATGAAACTATTGGTAACATTTCTAAATAATAAAGCCATAGGACCTTTACTAATAATTATATAGAAATACATTTTATTATTATTTTTATTATTATTTCATTTTATTTAGGATTTAACTGATGCAAAGAAATTGTTTCCATGCACACTGTTTTAATCGGGACAATTGCATCTTGAACTTTTATGTCGGTGCACTGAAGCATATGAGTGAATCTTACAATCCCTAACCACCAGGAGAACCATCGGCACTAATTCTGGACTCCCTTTTTTCTCGGTCAGCTGCTGTTCCAGGTGAGGATGGATGAAATCAAAAGTTCTCTGTGCAGACAGTGTCATACGTGGCACCCTCCAGGTGGGTCCTGTGCCCACTGACGCTGACGTCGGCTTTCACCATTCGCAAACACATGAGTAACCATACTCCTGCGCACACCGCTTGCCCATGGTGAGGCTAGGTATGCACTCCTACAACCGAACAATGCTTTTTTTTCCCCCACCGGCATTCCGCAAAGACCCGCCCTACTCCACCTCTGATTGACCAGTGTTCACTGTTTAGGCATTAGATGTGGAAAAAACGTCAGAGCCAATCAGAGTCAGAGTAGGGGAGGATCTTTGTGGAATACAATTGGGGGAATTCCATAACTGTGTCTATAGTAAACAAATAGCTTAACGCTGAGAAAACAGGGATGTCCTCAAAATGGATTAAAGATGTCACAAGTATTTGGGTTGCGGTTAGGGTTCTGCTTTTGATTTTCTCTTTTGATCTAATTCAGGAGCTAGTACTGATTCCTACCCTATGTCCCTTCTAGAAAGGGCATGCTTTGTGGCATTGTGATACTAAGCTTTGATTTCCTATGTAAAGCAGATCTTATGTTGACCTGACTGTACCTACTTTAGGTGAGCCTGCTCTAAACCTGCTGCCAAAGCGCTCAGTAGGCTTCAGATAAAGAGCTGTCAGGTTATAGGAGAGAAAGTAGGTGATGTTTGAAACTCCCTCAAGCACTTTACATCTGTACCTTTTTGCATGTGCTATTTAGAGAAATAAGAGTGACAGGATGTTGTAAAACCAAAACTAACGGTCTGAAAGAGAAGTGCCCTGAGGTGCCCTGAGGTGCAAAGTTGGTGATAATTCCCTATGGGTTCCTCACTACAAGTTACTTTTTACATTACACGTCATTTGACCCATTGTTCATATTAGTGCCTGGGTACATAAACTTCACATTTTTATAACCAAGCTGAAATATTAGGCAAACCGCTGACTGGCGATGTGCCCTGATGTGCTGTGATTGCACAATGTTTTGTTCAACTTGCAGATTGTACAGTATTCCCTCCAGGCTCCAGCCTTGGGTGGGAACAGTACAACAATGTCGGTTGAATTATGCTGCTGCCAGCTTGCGTTGGTGACATAATTTGAAGCCAGCGGCTTTATGACCTATACTGCAGTAAGCCACCAGAGGGCAATCAGGATGTTTTAGCTTCACTATCAGGGAGCTGTTACGTCGTCCATCTTTATATTTGTCGATGAGTAAAACCAGTTGAGCTCAACAAAGGTGACCTGGCCAAAACAGCAGTGTAAAAAGGTTACAGACTATATGTTTACATGTTTAAGTAATTAAAATACCTACACGCAGTTAGAAGTAGATCGAATCAATCATTCATTGTATTTTTAAGAGCTTTAAAATCAGACAGAGAGACCAATTCTCTTAGTTTCAAGTCTTTGAAAGCTGTTAAGGGAGCAGAAAACATAAGAGCTTTCTTTCCCAGCACTTGGAACAGACGTGAAAAGGTTGTTGATACTATCAATACTGCCAGGGATAGAT